TTAGATGTCAAATTTAAATCACTAAATAACATATCAGAAATATTGATCAGGCTCTTTATTTATTAAACCAGCAATGAGACATGAAAACAGTTTGTGATCATAAAAAAATTTTTTGTACATGTTTATCCTTCAAGTGTACCACCTGTGCCACTGTAATATGTTTTATCATCCATCTCAAGTATATGTATGTTTTAATAACCGTTGATTTTATTGTATTTTTCCACTTTAATCACTAAACTGTGATTTTGCAGTGAGCCGTGAGTAACAGACGTACAGTACAGATTTACTGCTGCAGAAGCCTTTGATGCTGATATTTACTGAAGCCCAAAGCGAAGATGAAACCTGCAGATGAGTCTGTTTGTGACTTGGTGCCATTTTGCAAAAAAAAAAAACTGAATGAAAGTAACCAAAACTAATGACATCAGAACAAAGGAAGCAGTGCAGGAATGCAAACTGAGCCTTCAAAGTGTTTCTGTGTAACATAAATTAACCCACTCGGTTATTGTCGTTATAAAATCGGATAATATCGAGTTCTATCTTTTTATATATGATTCTAGATATTTTTGAGCATGTGCAAACAAAGCGATGGTGCACATCACTGAATAAAAGCGGTGTTTTTCTCTCCATTAGGAGCTAAACATTCGTTCACAAGCAGGAGGAGAATACGCGGAAAGATAATGACTTTGATTTGTGATTTCTTCTGTTCCATCAGCCCTCTCAGCCTGTGGCGCCTGTCCCTTAGGCAAACAGCAGACAGTAAACAAAAGCAAATCCACTTCAAACATCCAGGCCCCCCACTCGGATGAAGAGATGCAGTGGGTCTCCTTCCTGTCATCTGCTGTTAGTCGGGCTATTTATCAAAACATCGGCTGCAGGCTGAGTGGAAGCAAGTAACCTAGAGGCCTGCTTTGGCTCTGCTTCGCTCTTTCTAAACGTGCAGCGTGTCAGGGTGTAAACAAGTGCCGCAGCAGCTCATCATCCTGTGAGGTTTTCCCGTCGAAGGGCAAGCGAGCGTTAACCTATTCAATAACACGCTGACTGTGTTATTACCTGAATTAGATTTATGTCCCATTAGCCTCACTGACAGGGACCACTTCTCCTCATCCTTATTCACTGGTCCTTGTTACAAATATCAATAAACACCAAAAACGGAGAACAGAGAGGGACAGTGACACACTGCATTAGGTTGTTCACCTTAATATTCAGCAGCTTATTCTCTTATTTGCATAAACAAGAATGTAAACATCCCAAACATGTCACAAATTTAAAAATACTCCCTAATGGGACTCACGGTCGAAAATGCCCTTGTTTTCAGTTTCTGACATTTCTAATAGTTTCCACTTTATCCATTTCAGATAGCTGGACCAGATATGATGCATCATTTAGTTGGAGAATTTGTGATTTAATCTACACTCACTGGAAAATGTACAAGCTCCTTGCTTTTACCGAATTAGACCTCTGTTTAAGTTCTTCCTGGCAGAGTTTCAAGGTGCTGGAAACATTCCTCAGAGATTTTGGTCCGTGTTGATGTGATGGCATCACACCGTTGCTGCAGATTAGAGGGATGCACATCCATGATGACATCTGCTGTTCCACCACATCCCATATGTGCTCTACTGGACTGCGATCTGGTGACTATGGAGGCCATGCTCAAGTAACCGATTTGCTGGATTCTTCAACATCGTCATCCCGCTGGAAGCCGCCATAAGAAGATGGTATCCTGTGGTCATAAAGGGATTGACATGGTGGCATGTTTTAACAATGTTCGGTTGCTACAAGAGGCTCAAAGTATGCCACAAGCAGCAGCCTGAACTGTTGATACAAGGCAGGAGGGATGCATGATGCCATGTTGTGTATGCCGAATTTTGACCCTACCATCTGAATGTCACCACAGAAGTCGAGACTGAACATTTTTCCAATCTTCTACTGTCCAATTTTGATGAGCCTCAGTTTCCTGTACTCAGATGACAGTACTGTGGTGCTTCAGGAAGTAGCTCTTCTGCCTGTGGGAATCCCAGCAGTTACTGAAACACTCGGACCAGACCGTCTGGTATCACCACAGCATGTTCAAAGTCACTTAAATCACTTGCTGCCATGTGATTGGGCGATTAAATTCGCAAGCAGTTATGGACAGGTTATGGTCCTGATGTGGACCAAAATAAAGAGTAAATGGTAAAACTTGGTTGTATAAGGCCTGTTTTTAGATCAACTAAAGATCTCAAGGAATATTAGATTCAGCAGTTCAAACCAGTTCATAAAGCCAACAAACTAGAATAACAGTCAGGCACTAGATGCAGGTGTAATTATAAATCACAGAGTCATAACTGATTGTACTGACATGAATTCCAGTCAGTTATGGATCTGTGGTGCATACTGATCGTGACTTTAGGGCACAGTTGAACTATGACGGTACGAATGTGTGGCGTCTCTATTTGAGGGGAAAGAAGAATAGAAGGAGTCGTGATCATAAAACAAGAAAGTGAAGAAAAATCCATTTCAGGACAAATCGAATGATGATGTTATTTAATCTCTCGCCTTGATCTTCTGATCTGCACAAACGTTCATGTAATACAGCCACCACTGGGTATGTGCTTGTTCAAAACTCGTACAGTAATTACAGTCTCATTCAGCAGCAGGCGGTGGATGCACGCACACACACACGTACAGCTCACACTTAATTATATAACGAGACAAATTATTATTCTCAAATCTTGTAGCCCGTGACCCCAATTAAACTAGAAGTGTGTTTAGAGCATGAAATATGACACTTAGATGAAAACAAGACTAATACACACACACACACACACACACACACACACAGACACGTTAGCTGCAGTCACAGTTTGCTGATGGGTCCAACAAGCACACAGAAGTAAAAGATGACGCCATAAACCAATCCCTCCAGACCCCAGTCTTCCCACTCAGCAGCCATGTTGGTAGCAACACCTGACTGTAATTTTGAAGTGCTTATTTAAAGAAATACAGTGTGAAAAAGTTTACAGGTAGATCTACGTTCCCACCCTCACTATGACCATCACCTTCGGTAACTTTGGTAACTGAATGTGACCGTAAAGAATGAAACTGAGAGTCCAAGCGGCAGAAATGAGGGCTGAAAACAAGTCGCTTGTTGCGCATTGCTTTGAAGCTGACGGCGTTTGTAGTCAAGGTTCCAGCTGCCTAGCTAACCTTCTCATATATTGCTAATCTCCTCAGGTCACATCATCAGTATTCACTTCTCTCATTGGTCACGCCCAATTTGTTGCAGAATGTAATTCACGTTGTATCGTCTTGGTCACAACGTCATTCCCAGTGTGGATGCAGCTTAAGACCTCAGTCCTGCAGACCAGCTGGTTTGTGAGTGGAAAAATTCCAGTCAGTATGCGAGTAGTTGCTAGAGGTTGCCGGGTGTTGCTAGATGTAATTGGTCAAAAAGAGTCTGCTGCAGTATACAAAAACTCCATGTTAACTGCTTTGGTCACTAGCATGTACTTAGAATTGTGACCAATTTCATGCAAGCAACTTGCCAACAACCTCCAGCAACCAGTTGGCCAACAGTTGCCACTCAACTCGCCCACCAATTGGAGTTAGCCAAATGGTCGCAAACCTTTAAGCCTTTATGACTGCTGACTTAGACGTTGAGGATCTTTTGGCAGATAGGAGGTGCTAAGAGCCTCTACTCCTCCACATGAAAATGAGCCAGCTGAGGTGGTGCATTCATCCGACCTCCTGGACTGTCACAGGTGAGGTGTTACCAGCCAAACTCGGAATGAACTCCAGGGCAAACACAGTTTCTCTCTTTCATTAATGAACTTTGACCTGCTTGTCAGAGGATTAAGGTCTTAGCAGGTGAGGTTTACTGATGTTAGAAAATTTAATTAAGTAGAATTCATCTGGCATTAAAGTGTATGTAATGGAGATTTTTGCAGGTGAGGTCACTTATGTCAGAAGAATGTCTGTGAAGTTTGGGAGAGTTTGGACTAGATTTCTTTGAGGTATATCAGTTTCATGTTTCATGGCAAAACATCAAAATTCACCAAGCTGCCGAGGTCACGCCCTCTTATGAAAACTCACTGTTTTGAATGTGACCTAAGACCAACTCCTTCAGGCTTCCATGAACAAATTTGAGGTTGCTGGCATCAAGCGTCTTGAAACTGTAGCCCAAAGTGTAAAACATGACATTTCCTGTTCTCAGTAGGTGGCGCTGTAACCACTGTCAAATATTGCAGTTGAAATGTGTTCGGGGGGTGTAGCTTTATCACGTGTGAGAAGTTTGGTACAGATCGGTCAATGTATGTGGGAATAAGAGCCAATTATAATTTCAAAGCGAATGATTGAAATTCGCTGTGGCGCCACAGAAACGCCCTTAGGTGAAAACTCTAAAGTTCCACTATTTAATATGGCTCAGATCTGTAGTCTAGACTGACGAAATATGGAGCTGATCCGATAAAATCTCTAGGAGGAGTTTGCAACAGCACAACGCCTGGAAATGGCAAAATCTATGCCAAAATGTTACGTTCAATTCAAAATGGTGGTGGTGAGTTGGCACATGGGTCCAATAGACTTTTTGGTATATCTTGGGATGTTACACATGTGTACAAAATTTCATACATTTACGTAAAAGCCCAAGCAGGGGCTCATTTTTCCCCACTTTGTACGGGGCGCTACTGAGCCATTTTGCTGTGCCCAGGTCTCAAACCAGTGAGACCAGTAAATTTTCACCAGGCTTGACGCATGTGCAAAGCTTCATGAGTTTTCAAACATGTTAAAGCCCTCAAAAAGCCAATTCATTTGTCTGGATAATAACAAGAAGAACGGGAGCGATTACAATAGGGCATTCGCACTTTTAGTGCTCAGGCCTAATAATGGATTCAACTGAGCCATTTATTCACGCCACTGAATAAACTTCTGCCATTCTAGTCATTTCACAGAGCTGCTCCTTCGTACTTTAAAACATACAATAACCTTTTCTTCTCTCTCTGTCTTTATCTTTATCTCTGCAGATAGCTTGTCGCCTCCCGTCAATGTGACCATCAGAGAGGTAAAAGCAAACTCTGCTGTGGTGTCATGGGACATCCCCGAGGGAGACCCAGTCATTGGCTTTGCCATCACACAGCAGGTCGGTAACACTCTCTGTCCCCTCTATACCACTGTAACCATTAATGCTAATTACTGTGCTTATAAGCAGTAAAAAATACATATGGAAAAGCATTTAGCAGATTCAGGCAAGTTTTGGAGGGAATAAAATCATCCAAACCTTTTATTTATTGCAACTCATATTACAATTTTACAGCTAAAGATACAACTTTACTAGATACGCCTGTTCAACTCCTCATTAATGCAAAAATCTAAAGTTCAAACTGAGCAGCAGATGGAGTACAGCAGCAGAAGACTACACCGTCTGCCACTCCTGTCAGCCAAGTTCAGGATACTGAGGCTACATTTTACACCACATCACCAAAATTGGACAATAGAAGATTTCAAAAATGTTGCCTGGTCTGATGAGTCTCCTTTTCTGCTGTGACATTTGGGTGAAAGGGCCTGAATTTGGAGTAAAACAACATAAAAGTATGGCTCCATCCTGATTCGTATCAATGGTTCAGGCTCCTGGTGGTGTACCTAATAAAGTGTCCCCTGAGTGTACATGTAACTGTACTATAATGTAGGTACATTCATTAATGCATGTAAAAGATTTCTTGAAGAAACTCCCGAACTAATTCAATTAAGTTGTGGCTTGTCACAGGTTATTGTCTGCCACCTCCTTTCCTGTGTTGCTCCCTCACTCCAAGTCAGAATGCATTATGGGAATCATCAGAGGATACAGCATCCTGTCGGACAGCCTGTCCCCTCGCTGACAGACTATGACAGCTGTGTGACAGGAGAAAAGTCAACATGCAAGCTTAGACACACATCTCTCGCACAACCACGCATTTACGTGGGACAAGTTGCCATCTCGTGGTTGTACAAACACACATATGCACCCGTCCACAGGAGACTGGAGTGACATGTTTGATGGCAGCACTGGAAGCTGGGAAATGTGTGGTTTAAAGCTATAAATAAAAGTTAATAATAAGAAACAATAGCAGAGGACATTCAGCTGCTTTGCAGTTGTTATTGTTCAGGCTGTTCTCATTCACTGGTCATCAAATCCCGCCGTTTTGTCAAAGCTGCTGCAGTCACAGAGATGTATACAATATCAGATGCGGTGTTATTTTAAAGTATGACAAGTTTGAAGCATTCAAAAAGGGTGGCGGTGGTTTTAATCAGTACTGTACAACTTCATCCTCTATCATATAGCAAACTCATCCTCCAAGTCTTGGCAAGAAAGGTAAAAGCATATTCACTCTTTATTTTCTATAACACTAACATGAAATGCACCTGACAATTAAAACTTCAATTCAGAAGTCAAGCACAACTCAAGTGCTCCCAAAAGTCCTTATGGTTCTCCAACGTCTCCCTCCACACAGTTTTGTGTGGTTTTTCCAATGCTAACTGTGCTAGCTGTGGTCGTTGTGACTGTGATTTTAAAACTGTTCCAGGCATCTCTTAACCAGAAACCAAAACAGTTTGCATCCCATCTTAAATCAGCGTTTAACAATAAATGTCCAAAACACAGATGTTTAAATCCGGAGGTCAAACATAATGAGTAAGGATATCACTTCAGGCTGAAGACAGATCTGAGAAAAAACACAATTTAACAACTTAGAAATGTATTTAAATTTATTTTGTCTGTGTCCACAGGTAATGAATGATCCCCTGTCAAATTTGAATTGTGGTGTCCCTCAAGGCTCTCTCCTTGGCCCTCTTGTTTTATAAGCACACTTCCTCTCAGCGACTGTTTTGCCAACACTCTACTATCCAACAACACCAGCAGCGTTGGTAATCTACTTACCCACTTAACGGTGAAAACTAAACTCACCAAAGATAAATCTTAAAATTTACCACCTTGGCCCAAAATAAGCTTTTTTCATTCAGTCTGCTACCAACCTGGGAGCTGTTTTTGAAATCGATCTCTGTTTCAGCCCCCCTGGTTTAGCGCAACAAGAACAATTTCCAGAATTAGATCATTCTTGTCAGCTGCTGAGTTGCATTTATTTCACCCGCCTTGATTGAGGCTAAATGGACAGATACTTTACTTGGCTTTTATTTGAGCACCGAATGCGCTTTCTTACAACAAGCCTCGTTCAAGTGTGTTATTTTGTGCCTAGCTTTCACACGTACTCTCATGGATGCATTTGGATTTACAGATACTCAGAAGCAGACTACAGTAGCCGGGGATTGCACCACCAACCTCGAGATTAGTAGACGATCCGCTCCTGAGTCATACCAGTCATCATAACTAAAGCATTTCCTTTGGGATTAATAAAGTTGTCTGATACTGATCCTGATTGTGATAAAAGGAGATAATACCTTTTATAACAGCATCAGTCAGAGCTCACATCACCGGCTCAAGCTGATCCAGAACTCTGCTGCGTGAATTTTAACTGGCACCATGAACACATCACTCCAGTTCTGGCAAATTTACACTGGCTGCCTGTTAAATGCCAAATTGATTTTAAAATCTTACTAATCACTTTTAAAGCACTAAATGGCCTTGCTCCAGAGTACATTAAAGATTTATTTACTTCTTATGTGCCTGGGTGTTAAATTGGTGAATGGTTATTCCAGCATCTTGGCTAGTAATCAAAGAGCTCCCGAGCGGCGGGACCACTGAGATCAGAGTAGCCACGTCTTGATTGTTTTGTTTTTTTTAAGTATTCTCGGGAGGGGGGGGATTGATGTGCATATGTTTAATTTGTGTGAAAAACTTTGTAATTTTGAGAAAAGTGCTTTAAGAGTAAGTTTTTTGTAATTATAATTACCAACAAGACAGGAAAGACTGATACAGAGGATGGAAAAGTAACAAAGTCGGGAGGTCAAAGGAGGTGACCAGGAATTATAAAACTGTACACGGAAATAAAAAATGAACAGGCAAACCCAGAGCCACGGTCATTAAGTTTAATTTTAGTGAAATAAAGTGTGAGTGTGAACGCCGGTTGCATGTGTCTCTCTGTCACCCTCCAACAGAAGAAAGACGTGCGCATGCTGCGATTCATCCAGGAAGTCAACACCACCACGCGATCCTGTGCATTATGGGACTTGGAGGAAGAGACAGACTACATTGTGCATGTCCAGTCCATCTCCATGTCTGGGACGAGCCCACTGAGCGAACCGCTGCGCTTCCGGACGCCGAAGGAGGCCGAGACTCAGGCCTCTAAGAGTGAAGGTGAAGCGTGACAGCGCCACGCATGCATACGCATCCACACAAATACACTCCTTCACCCAACACGTCCACACTTAAAAGAAAAAAAACCCTGAATCTGTCGGTTTTCCAGACATGACTGCAGCGGGGACTTGGCCTTTTGGCAGCATTGTGACTGATTTTGTCCAAAGACCAATAAAAATCGATAGAAACACAAACCATGAAATGAAATTTCACAAGAAAGTGCTCTTGAAGCTTGCCCCCTCTAACCACAACTCGGGAGTAGAAGAGCTGAGAGGGATGCATACTTCACTGTGTATCGACTTGCCTTCGTGGCCTCACCCAGCACACGCTCTGCACAACTGCACTGTAAACCAAAATGAGGAAAGGCATTTATCAGACGCAGGGAGGAAGCAGTGGGAGCTGTGAGGGGTGGGGAATCGATGCGCTTTTGGCTGAGGCGCTTCTCCAACTATTCTTCCTCTCATTTACACTCGTGTCTCATGTGAGCTGCAGCTTCACTCCGATACTTCGCAAAATGTTGAGCCAGAAAGAGTCTGAACTTCTGTTCTGGTGTTGAGCGGGCTGGCAGAGGCATGTAGAACACAAAAACAATCATTGCAGAGCGGTGAGGCGATGCTCTCGCCACCGCCGAGGCCTAATTAGCACGGGATGTGTTGTCTGTGTGTTATTTGTGTAGCTGAGAAGAATTTACAGAAATCAATAACAGCACAGATAAACGTGTGCGCTTTCATAGCAGCCTGTTCTCCTTCTGTCCGTGCACGTGCTCGTTTCTTTGAGGTTTCAGGACGCAGTAGCGGTTTTTGATACGGGCAACCGCCCGTGTCGCCCGGGGCGGCATCGTGGTGAGGGCGGCATCACGGACATCGGCAAAAAAAAATTAATTGCTCGTACTCATGCTGCCCCGACATCAGCCAGCGCATATTGGGAATGGCACAGGCACTGATCGGTTTTCTATCGCCCATTTGCTGGGAGTAAGGGCGCCCTCCGTTTGTGAGGTGCGCCTGCTGGAGAGGGCGGGGCGGCGGGGGATTCTCTGACCGGCTGGAGCAGCGTCTAATAACCAACTCGCAAAATAAAACAAAATAAAAACAAAACAACAAACACGAAAACACCAGACATCATGATACAGACTTATAATTTGCACCAATGTTTTTTCGAAATTCTGTACGCGAAAAGTGAGCGCGAGAGCCCTCAGTGCGACTGCTCGCTGCTGAAGTCAAAGTAAACTTTATTACAGTCCAGTATATAGAGAGACAAGACGATGATGCTCCAGTTACAACAGTGCAAGTAAACAAACAATAAATATAAGAAGAATAAGAAAATAAATATACACTTTAGGACTAGGGGTAAAGGGATCAATAACAAATTAAAATTTATATTTTATATTTTGATGATTTAATGTCTCACACACAACACGTGGAAAGGGGTTCCTAATGATATAAATCCAAGTCCATTATGTATTCATGATTTGAATCCTGGGTTGTGTGAAATCCCAGAAATACACGCCAGAGGAAGTGTTTGCCCGGGGCGCCAAACAGGCTAGGACCGCCACTGTCAGGACGTATCTTCTCTCCTGCTGTTTTCAAAACCCTCAAAGGCAGAACAATGACTTCAAAATAAACACAAGTGCTTCGTATCCACAAGTGCACACTCTGAGTTTCACCAGGGGCAGAAAAATGTATTAAATTATAACTAAAAATAAAGCTCGTCAAATTCTGTCAGTCCATAGCTTTTGTTGACACAGCTGCTTTTAATCCATAAACCACAAAAGCTATTAAAGAACTTGAATCACCAGTATCAATCCAGTATATATAATTTAGGTCATTTTGATTTGTTTATACAAGCTTAATGATCTAAATTATTTAGAATAGGGAAGAAACTTGATTTGGGCGACCCTTAACGTAACGTGGTGGTTGGTGTCCGACAGGCGGGTCTGAGTGTTTCAGAAACTGCTGCTGTGCTGGGATTTTCCCAGACAACCATCTCTAGGGTTTACAGAGAAACATCCCAAGGTAAAATATATAGAGAACAGCAGTTCTGTGGACAACAGAAAACTGGGAATGTTGCCTGGTTTGATATGTCATTTCCGGATCAAAGGTTAGCATAAACAACATGAAAGCATGGATTCATCTTGCCTTGTAGCAACAGTTTAGGCTTCTGGCACACTTTGGCCCTCTGAGTACCAACCGAGCATTGTCTAAAACACCACACCCTATCAGAGTGTTGTTGCTGACCATGTTAATTCCAATCACAGTGTATCCAGCCAGCAAACTGGTAAGTTACATATGGCCTCCACAGTCACCAGATCTCAGTCCAACAGCAGACCTTTGTGATGTGCTAGAATGTGAGATTTGCATCATGGTGCAGCTGACAAATCTCCAACAAGTATTTGAGGCTGTCTGTGAGGAACGTTTTCCCCACCTTTTGAATCTGTGCCATGAAGAATTAAGGCAGTTCCAAAGGCAACAGGAGGTCAGTCCAACCTCCTGATCTGGATGAATCAGTGACATCTAACTTGAAAACGGGTGATAACAAGTGGACTTGCTTTACAATTGTTTTCCTACATGCAGCTGAAAAGCTTGCAAAAAGCATTTTAATTTTAAATGAGGACAAAAAGTGACCCAACTTAACCTCAGGATAGAGAAAGAGCTCCTGTCTTTAAGCCGAGTTAACTTTCTCCTGGTATTTCCTTCACATTAACTTTTGTTGTTGCTCAGACTAATCAGGCGTGATGTAATTAGTAAGCTTTGGAAATAGGTGGATGTGGTTAGATTTTTACACAGAACACAGATAGATGAATCTTTGTATTCGCCGTACAGACAAGAGAATATTAGTAGTGTTCTCGTGTGACTTTCAGTAAGAGAGCAAATTATTTCCCAAAAGGTCAAGAAGCACGGGTCATGTCTGTGTTTCAGAAGGCGACCCCCCGCTTTCTTAAATGAGTCGGGTGCAGGAAGTCTGCCTCATCCAAAAATCTGCAGGTTTTGCACAAACACACACACAGAGCCCCTAATTTGCTGAAAAATGTTGCTTCACACATTTGAAACTATCACAAAGCAAATATCCACAGAGAGCACGTCTGTGATTCATCATCCTTCACTTCTACTCAACAACAGCTTCACGGTTTAGCGCGACGACACACATCCGTCTCTGTTTCATTTGCGCTGCTTGCTCAAGGATGTCTGTTTAATTAGCGTAGCTGTGTTGAAACAATAAAAGCTTTGATGGCAGATGAGAAGGTGTTCTTCAGTCAACATTTTGTAATTTATTAGAAAATTGCGTGGATAGGATTTGGGATCTAGTATCTAGTATGAAGGGTAATTTTAGTTTAGAGAGATCTTCTTAAATCCACCCAGATATGTTTGGCTTTTATGATTAAACACTTTGTCTTTCTCTAACAAGACAAATGGTCGTCATTTACCACTACATCATTTTTCGCTCATAATCCTGCCAATTTCCCTTCAGAAAAAATGGCTAAGCTGTGAGTCCAGACAGTGGGACGAGAGCTGTTCGCTTATTGAGAATGACTGACGGACAAAATGTGCCATGGAGAGAGAGAAGGAGTTTGTCTTTCACTGCAGATAAGTGCACAGGGTACAGAGTGTGGAGGGAGAGCGTCTCAGTGCTTCTCTTAGTCCTTTGTCTCTGTATGACAGGCGAATGTCCCGAGAAGCAGAGAGAGGCTTTCACCATCCTCGCTCAGCTGCTCAGCCCTTCTGTTCTGCAGTATCACGTTGATCTCAGTGGAAAGAGCAAAGGATGAGCCTGAAATGCTGGATTATTCCGCATTTCTTCTCGTTTCCTCTTTCACAATGGGTTTAAGCTTCGGGAGATCAAAGGAAGTAAGAGAGAGATGAAGGGAGAGGGGGGGAACTGAACAACCTGTGCACAAAACAGCAGGAAGAGAGGAGGGGAAACAGAGAGTGGCTGACAGAAGCAGCCACGGCAATACAGGAGAGAGAAATCCTGAAAATTAAATTCTGCTGTCAGAAACACACTGTGTGTGTGTGCGTGTGTGTAGGCTTTTTTACATATCTTTGTGAGGACCAAAAATTAAAATGTTACTATACTTGTGGGGACCAGCAGTCACTTGTGAGGACAAAAGAGCCTGTCCCCACGAGTTTGAAGGCATTTTTGAGGGTTAGGGTATGGGCCTAGGGTAAGCATTATGTCAATTAGATGTCCTCACTAAGACATCAAAATGAGAATGTGTGTGTGGGGGGGGCACAGATGTACCTGTGTAACCTCTCAAGGAAATTTACAGACTCGCAAACATGGAGAATAAAAAGTTCTGGTGAAAAGGTTCATCGTCTCCTCAGATCTAATAAAGGTAGAAACTTCTCTCTCATCTGTCCTAAAAGTCTGGCTTGTTCTTTTATGAGGATCCATCTTGAGTGAAACATTTTCTTTATCTCCATCTCGTGTTTGGATACTGCACAGCGGGAACCTGACAGAGAAACTGAGAGTATCGTGTAATCAGCACAACCCTGGACCTGGAAACCAGAAAGGGGGGGAAATGATTTTTTTCTTTTAAGCCAAAGCTGAGAAATCTGACTCGTTCTTCATCAAAATGACATCAATCAGAGACAAAATGAGACAAGCAATTCTTTTAATTAAATTAATTTTTAAAAGACCACTTTTCCCATTTTCTGTTTTGTTTGTTTTCCCTGTTTGGAAGTGAAGAGTGAAGAAAGACAAACAGGTGAGCAGGAGGTGAAAGTAAATATAAAAAAGCTGCTCATGAACACAGCCTTTAAGGAACAACTTATCTTTCATCAGCAGGTGTGAACAATGTTCCCTCTAAGCTGCAGGCGTGCGCAATTGCGCACTGCTGGCACGGTCTCTGCGCACAGAAAATCTGCATTGCACACAAAAAAAATCTAACCTGAATTGAAATGAAAGTAAATACGTAAACTATTCTGTTTTGCAGTGTTAGTCAGTAAGTGACTGGCTGCTCCCATATGGGATTAGAACGATGCCACCTTATCCCATAGTCCAGC